AATTATCCTAATCTTAAATTAACATTCGGTGGTTAAACAAGCAGAATTATTTGAGGAGTTCGCAGCACTTTGAAGGTCCTTTTCCTGGCTGGTTTTTGGCAGCACAGGTTTGATCTTTGATTTCCCTGCATAGATTGTTTTCCGAGCAGGGATCTGGCAGCAAATTGCTGCCGCCACTTTCGGAGTGTTTGCAGGAAATAGGAAGGATCTCTCTTCCTAAACAATCCTGGTTTATTTATTTTTTATTGGTCTGTTAGCAGATGTTGAAGTAGTTCAGGGCACAATGTAAACATGTGCTTTTCAATGGATGCTAAATAGGAAAGTGCACAATGAAAGGAGCACTTGGGAGAGGGTTTGGAGCGGGGCAGAGGGGGTTTTGTGGGGGTTTTGTGTGTCTGCGGTTGAATTTAGAATTAAAAGAAGCGCTCGATCTTTCTGTTCCCAAACGCTCATCGCGCGGAGCGGCCGCGGAGCCGTGGGCCCAGGTGGTGTGAGGAAAGGAGCAGCACTTGAAGGGCCGGGGATTTCAAAAGGAGCTCAGCTCCTCGCTCTGGCAGCCTGGAAGGGGCTGTCCCGTCCGTCTGTGGGTTTATTGAAGCGTGCCAGATGCGCCCCAGCCCCACAAAACCCCCTCGAGTGGGAGCAGCGCGGCCCGGCCTGCAGCGAGGATGAGCCCGGCAAGTGCAGGACTGTGGGCTCCGCGCCCCCTCCATGGCAGGCAGCTGAAATGGGCCATTAGCGAGCAGGGAAAATTGTCTTGGCTCCTTTCAGCAGATGGAGCAAATATTTTACAAAGCAATTTTACATAGGAAAAGCATTTGTGTGAGGCGGTAATGACGGCTGTTTGCCATGATGGGACCCGAGCTCAGAACGTGCTTTCCCAGCTCTGGGGAAGGCAAAATTGGCACTTTTTTAATTTTAAAATTTGCAGTTAACACTGAAAAGCCCGGGCTTTAAATCAGGTGGCAAGCTTTAAGTAGATAGAGGGTGTTCAGTGTGCTGCTTCCAAAGCCATTCCCAGTTTTTAGAGATCTCTCCATTTATTCTGTTCTCTGTGGTACTTCGTGCTTCTGGCCAGGGTGGACCTGTCTGAATTAGGAAAAAAGTGTTCAATCAGTTTAATTTGCAAAACAGGAAATAATGGCAGTTATTTGGGCATTTGGGCAGCAGTCACTGGCTTCTTCCATGGTCGCTGGTGTCACTGAGAACATCAGGACGAGCTGGGCTGGACCAGTTCCCACCCAGGCTGGAGTAAGTTATCCCAGCCCCACTGCTCACAAGAGAAAGGATGTGCTTGTAAATGGCAGGAATTGTCATTGTGCCATCCCAGTGGCATAAATTGCCCCAGCTCCACTGACTGCAGCAGAGTCGTGGCACTTTGTATTGCTCGGGAGCTCTCTGCTGATTTTATTCCTCTCTGACCCACTCAGATTTCCTTTAAAGGAATTTGGAGTCCCTTTCTTCACTCTGTTTGCTTGCAAGGTCTAAATAATTTCCTTTCCATCTGGTTTTTAGCTAAAAAGCCCTGCATCTTATGCATCCTGCTCTGCAGCCTCTTCCAGATCTTTCTTCCTGTTTCTATTTCTTCTTCCTATTTATTTATTTCTCTTCTCTACCAGCTTTTCAGCTTTTCTTTCTTTTTCTTTCTGTCTCCAGCAGATTTCCTACCACAGCCTTCAACATCTGCCACGCTTGGTCCTAATTTTGTGTAGCAACTGCCAAAGAAAACCTTTCAAAATTCATCTTGCAGAAGGGTGAGAAATTATTTCTCATTTAGTGGGAAAAAGCTGTTTGGTTTTTTTTTTTTTTTGTGCTTCTTCATTGTTATAAAAAGGTGCTAAACCAATTTGGAGAGATGTAAAGATTTCTACATGATGTAAACAATATTTGGGCTGCTCATTTTTACTGCTACTAAGAAACCTCAGCTGCAAGGTTTGAACAAATGCTCCCTGTTTCTGTTGAGCCTGTGGTCCTAGATTGTTTGGGGCCACATCAAGAGAGAAAACATTGGTAGGCTCTGCTGGAGATACTGTCCAATTTAAATGAAATTAGCCAGCTGAGCACTGATCCTTTTAAAAGGTTTGACTTCATGAGTGAATGTTGGATGCGGGCTTGAATTTGCCTACTAAAACTCCCTATAATCAGGATTATTGCCTTTTTAGAGCTTACAGTTGCAAAAAAACCACCCTCCAACCAGGATTCCAGGAGCTGATCCTTAAAGGGGGGTGACCCCCTTCTGTGAGCACCCTGAGCGCCCAGGCTTTGTTCAGGGCACTGCCACCTGGGCTAGGGGCTCAAGGGAGGTTTGGCAGATTTTCTGGAATTGATGATTTCTTTAAAATCCTGCTTTGTTTCTGCCAGACAGGTTTGGTGCTCGCATCCTTCACCCTCCCCAGAGCTGTGGCTGCCCCTGGAACCCTGGAGGTGTCCAAGGCCAGGCTGGAACCTGGGACAGGGGCAGGGATGGAATGGGAGGGGATTTAAGTTCCCTCCCAACCCAAACCACTCCAGGATCCCATGATTTATTATCCCAAAGCACCATCCTTAGATGTGCAAGAAGAACTTTCAAAAGGCAGAAAGAAAATTTCCTTGGAAGCTGTGCCTGATTTTGCAGCTGGGTTAGGGAGGTTTCTTCCACAGCCAGGTGTGAAAGGGGAGACAGCTCAGAACTGGGGCACTGGAAATCTGTGTCCCACTTCAATTGCTCCTTACACAGACTTGGGCACAGCCCTCCCAAATGCCTCCACATCCAGCAGAGATTTCTGGTTTGTTTTGGTTTGGTTTGTTTTCCCCTGTGATTTATCAAAATCTTTCAGGCAGCCATGGCCCACCTCTTGCTTTGTTTGTTTTTATATTTCTGTTTCCATTGCTCCATACCCCCAAGTCAGCAGGTCTCAGGGATGAGGTGGAATGACAGAGGTGTTGCTGGGTGCACTGCCAGCTGGGAACTGATTTGTGGGGCAGCAATTCCAGGCCATCCATCAAGGCTCACATCCTCCCTCCAAAGATGAGAGGATTTTCATGAGCCACCTCAGCCTGTGCCTTGTTGGCTCAGCAATAATTCAGCACAAATACAAACCTACACAAGGCCAATGGGTATTTGCTCTGCTCTTTCAGTCAGCTCAGCCATCCAAACCCAAAATTCCTCCTTCAGATCTTCAGGAAATGAGCAGGGTAAAGACCTGAAGTTAGGTAAATTCTGAGTTTCAATCTCGTGGTTTATGTATTCCTTTGTTTCTGGGTAAATTCTGAGCTTGGATCTTATGTTTTAAGTGCTTCTTTGTTTTGGGGTAAATACTGAGCTTGAATATCATGTTTTATGTGCTCCTTTGTTTTTGCCATGAGATTGTGCTGCTTAGTGTATTGATCTACTGACTAAATTCATTTTTAACCCCTTTTTTGTGATATTTTTTAAGTCAAGACCATCTTTTTCTCCTTATTATATGATAGGAGCCCACATATCCCAGATCAGCATCGCCATCTGAGCACCTCCATATTTTTAAGGTATTTTTCCCCTCAGTTTTCCCCGTTCCATGGCTGGGCAGCTGAGGCCCAGGTGGAAAATCCCTTTCCTGCAGTCTCAGGGTGGCTCCTAAACCAGGAGCAGGGTTTATCCAGCTCTCCTAAACTCCTAAACTAGGGTGGCTCCTAAACCAGGAGCAGGGTTTATCCAGCTCTCCTAAACTCCTAAACTAGGGTGGCTCCTAAAGCAGGAGCAGGGTTTATCCAGCTCTCCTGCAGGCAGGCTCCAGCCCAGATTCCCCAGCTGTCCAGAGGGGCTGTGGCTGCCCCTGGAGCCCTGGAAATGTCCAAGGCTGGATGGGTTTGGACAGGCTGGGACAGGGGAAGGTGTCCCTGCCATGGCAGGGGTGGCACTGGGTGGGATTGCAGTTCCCTTCCCCCCAGACCATCCAGTGATTCCCATCATTGCTCCATCCTCCTCTGCTGGTAGGCAAATCCCAGTGAAGTCATTTTGAATTTGCATTTTTGGTTACTTTCGATCACGTGCTCCATGACAAAGCCCATCTCTACAAACTCACTGCTCCGGAAAAACAGCTTTAATTTTTTATTTGCTATTCTTAGCTGCCAGCCATAAGGTTTCCTGACGTTCCTCCAGAGCCTGGGATGAGCTGATGGTGGCTGAGGACACTGGCAGGGCCAGAGCAGGGCTGGTCATTGCTGCAGCACGGGGGGCTGAGCAGAGGGGATGGAAAACAGAGGAAAGAGCCCCGGGGGAGCAGGGGGAGGCTCATGAAGCAGCAAGGAAAGGAGCCTGAAGCAATCCAGTCAGGGTCCTTGCACTTTATATGCTCCTGTTCTTCTGGGGCTTTGGGGAGCAGTAAAAGCAGAGCAGTTACTTGCTGTATTTAATGGGGCTGGGCTGTGTGTGAGATAATAAAGAATTTAAAACTAGGAAAAAAGCTGCTTTAGCTGTGGAGTGACTAATCAAATTCCACCAAAGACACAGGCACTTGGGAATTTGTTACAGATATTTTACAGATTTAAAAGGATATCTCCTGCTTTAGAAATGCTTTTGCTTGATTATTCCTTTTTCTTTTTTCTTTTTCTATCTAAAGGGTATTTGGGTTGATAGAAGAGCTCAAACATAGAACCAGCAGAACTATTGCTGGCATATGTGACTATTTCAATATGCTGCTTCAAAATACAAGCAATGTACAAGTTATTGACTGCTGCTATTGATCCCAAAGCAGTTACCAAGTACTTGGCATTTTCAGATGCCAGATCCAATTATTGATATAAATTATAATGCAAGAGATGCTGTGCTGAGAGGGGGATTGGCTTTCAGAGAAGGACAGTTTGCAGGAGGAGGGAAGAGGAGCAAGCAGAAAAATTAAAAAAGGCTTCCTGACTGTGGGTAAACAGTAACCACATTTTTTTTTTTTTTTTGCCTGTTGGAGGCCTGGTTTTTAATCACCCCACAAGCAGTTTTCATTTCTGTAGTAAAATTGCTTGTGGTTCTATTTAATTTGTTTCTGCAGGAGCTAGCTTTGGTGAAGATCTCCCAGGAGCTGCCGGGCCTTTTAGCACAGCACGTACAGCCAGTCAATGAGAAACGATTCCCTACATGGGAAAAATTCCTCCAAACATTTCTTACTCAAGGTAAATAAGACTGCAAAGTCGCTGGGAAGTGTTAGAAGGAGTAATTATGCCATATTGTCTGCCATATTCTTGTTAGTCTTGGGCCCATTTAAATATTTATCTCCTTTTATTTCTCCATTATGCTTCAAATGTTCATTTACCAATGAATTATAGGCCACTGTTCTATCATTCATTTGTCCTATCCAAGCTTTTAGTCCATATTTATCCTGGATTCTGAATCCATAAGCACCAACTCCTTAATCCTTGGGTGCTGCACCAAAGGCTGTCACATTTGGGGAAAGGAATTCCAGCACGTGAGGTAAATGTGAGAATATTTAATATATAGATTTCTTTATGGAAGAGAAAAGGATGAGTCAAAGCCTTGAAGGTATTTTTCTTTTTAAATAATGCCACTCACAACATCTAGTACCAATTTTATTACATAGCTCTTTATCCCAACAAATGGGGTGGGGTTATGGCATTATCTGCAAGGAAAAGGCAAATCCAGAGTGCCAGGCAGTTGCCTTGGTGATTTTCCTATGGAAAACTGTGCTGGAAATTGTTATTTCCATGCCAAATTCCTCTTGTGGGTGAATGCCACAGGCAGACTCTTATCTAAGACCATTACATGGATGGGAGTCTCCAAGATGAGCTCCCAGCAGGAGCTGCCATCCCCCAGATCCCAGCATTGCATTTCCCAGCTGTTCTGGGCTGGTGCTGAGCTGGATTCTCTCCTGCTCCCCCAGGGATTGTTTTCTAGTCAGTGTGGGACTGATGCCCTTTGGAAGTGGGGATGAAAAGCCCCTCAATAAACTCCTTCCTCCTCCAAGAGATGCCCGATTCTGGCTCTGCTGCTCCCCTTGCACTGGTGGATTTGCTGTTTTTCCTGGAGCTGCTGGCTCCATCCCGTGCCCTCTGAAGGGCAGCACCGGTGGATTTGATCCCAAGGGAATTCCTGTCCCATTGCAGGTGGGGTGATCGAAGCCTTCCCGTCCTCGGGCAGCGTCACCAACCTGACGGTGGATCTGCTGATAGAGCCCACGGGGGAGCTGACACTGCTGGCATCTGGAGAGCAGCTCCACGCTGAGGGGCCCCTCAGGTCTTCTGGCACCACCATCCCACAGCGCTCCGTGGATCCTGAGCTTCTCCAGGCTCTCTGCCTGCAAATTGGGGAGGCCTGTAAATCCAAAGGAGTGCTCGGCTACTTCTCCGTGGACTTCGTGGCTTTCACCCATCCCCAGACGGGGGAGCAGCAGGTGAGTGGGGCAGGGACCTCACCCAGTCCCCCTGAGACTGAGAAATTCCACCTTTCCCATGGAACTCCCAAAAATGCCAGGAGAAAGCTTTGCCCTTTGGAACAAACTATTTGCAAACTCTGGGGCACGTGAGCTTAGAGAAGCACGGGGGTATTCTAACAGCACCAAATGTAGACCTGAGGCAGCTCCTTGTTTTTCACTCTCCTGACATTGTTCTCCTCTGGAATCTTCACTGAGGAATCTTCACAGTGTTTAGGATGTGTTTGACTGTAAATGGGAACATCCCTGGACTTTAAGGCTGTAGGGGGCTGGGTAACTTTGAGGTTTTTGGGAGCTGACAGCACTGTAGGGGTGGCTGTGGTGAACCAGAGAATCAGAATAACCATGGAATCATGGAATGGTTTGGGTAGGAAGGAACCTTAAAAATAATCTCATTCCAACCCCTCATTCTAGCTCCTTTCACTATCCCAGGTTCCTCCAAACTCCCTCCAGCCTGGCCTTGGACACTTCCAGGGGTCCAGGGGCAGCCACAGCTTCTCTGGGCACCTGTGCCAGGCCCTCACAGAAATTTGTGAGCTCTGCAAGTCAGAGCCCAGCTAAATCTTTGACTCCCAGAATGAATGTGCACAGGCACTGTAATCAGAACTCTGGGTGAGCCATACTGGACAAGTTCCATGAAAGTTTTTTTTTAAAAATATGAAGGGATGACATCCTCACCCATGGAAATCCATGGGAGTTGTGCCAATTGCTCCACTCAAGCCAGGAGGTCATTGAAATGCAGGATTGCTTCCTGGATTATTAAGGTTGTGACATTTCCTGGCACAAACAAGGACACATTAAATCATTTAGTGATTATTGTGGCTTCTTAGAATTCCTGTCTGTTCCATCTTGGTTTTCTTCCCTGTTCCCAGCTGATTTTTACCTTAACATTTCCTATGTTTATCAGCACGTACCACAACCTTAACATTATTTAAGCACAGGTTTTTAAATTTAACTGGATGTGGAGGCAATTAATGAGGCCATCTGTCTTGTGAGAGAAAGATCACACAAAGGCTTGTGTTCCTGAAAGCACCATTTTTCTGGCAAACAAGAAACCCTATCAGACCATTGGAACATTTGCTCACTCCTTTCACAAGGGTCCCCTTCAATGCAGTAGGTGGGAGGCTCAGATGCAGCTCCTGGAATTACAGGATACTCAGGAACTCTTTCCAAGTGTGTTTTACAGAAAATATTGATCTTTGGAGCACTAGGAGAAAAGGATGGATAAGGAACAATGTGTGTTGTCACAGTGGGAAGACAGAGCCTTGGCTGCCACAAGATCCAGGGGGCAGGGAAAGCTGGGACTCCACACAATTCCCTGTTTGCCTCAGGAATTTGTTTCCATCTCCGTTTCAGGCACCTGTGCCTTGATCCTGAGGGGAAGGGAGATGGAGATGCTGTTTTCAGCGTCATGGGGAAGAAGTGGAGGTGCATCATTTGGAGTGAATCCCTTCTGATTCCCCCTTTATTTTCCACAATGATCATTCCAAGCCAAGCCTTGGCCCCTTGGAGTGAAATCCTGCCCAGTGCTGTCAGATCCCAGCTGGGAGCTGCGCCCAAATAAATCCACTGGATTGAGTCGGGATATTTAAACACATCGACTGCCTTACAGGATAATTTGGAGAAGCAGGATCCTAAGCCCCCTTTTCCATGGGTCTGGTGGCTTTTGCACAGCCCCAGCCTCTCCCAGCAGTAGTGAGGGAATAATAAATTGGATAAAGTGCTGAGGTTGGACAATTCCAACAATTCTCTCCAGACCAAAAATAACACATTTTAATGTTCTATTTTCCAACAAGAGCCACGGTGCTGCCACCAACCATCTCCCAGCCCTGCACCCAGCAGGACAGAGGAGTGGCAGGGCCCTAAAATTGGAGTTTTTGGGCGAGCCCCAGCCCATGCCAGCAGCTGCCACGAGATGGCAGCCGGAGGAGAGCCTGCCAGCACCGCCCCGATCAGTCCTGCAGGTCTGAAAAGTCATGAAAGCCACTCTCTCTCCAACGCCCCAGCTGCATTAATATTTTACTAATTGACATTTTTACAGTATCACTCAAGCACTTCTTTAAACCTAGCGCGGGTGCTCTTCACAATAACGCAGCCGTCGATGGCAGCAGCAGATAAAACAGTTAAACCAGAGAGAGCCGAGCTGTAATTTAGTAACTCTTTAAGAATTTATGTTTCCTTCCCTTCTCAAGTTTACATTCTAAAGCTGAAGCGTTTTTATGGAAGCTGTAAAGAATTCCAGCATAATTGTGGCTTTATTCACTGGAGCTGTCTTCAGCACAAAGCGCCGGCTCTGGAGCTGTGTGTGCCCAAGGAGAATCCCCTGGAAGCAAATGTTTCCTTGGATAAACAGCCAGCAAGTCTTGCAGGATCTATTTCTGACTCTATTTTTTTCATTGGTGGGATTCTGGAGAGTCCTAATCTGTTCTGTGCTCAGCTTGACCTAAAACCTGTCTTAAATCTATCTAAAATTTTAACTACTGCATTTGGACTTGGAAAATTAAGTATCAGTTCTAGGCTGTGCTGTTCCAATTGAATTTCTGAACACAAATTCTGAAGATCCCCACATTTCAGATGAAAACTCCTTGTGTTCTGCTAATTTTCCATGCAATCCTGTCAGGATTTGACACCCCCAATCATAAATGTGTATAATTACATCCCTGCCCTTATTGTGTATGCTCAGAAAATGGGGATGGGCTCAATAATAGATGTTTGTTAATCTGTAGGGTTGTATCATTCTTTACTTAAACTTCACCTTTGCACAGGTCATCTCTAAGAACTCCTGATTTACTGGAGGAGATGATTTATGTGGCCAGGCTCCTTTTCCAGGCCCTGTGTTCTCCCATGTCTGTAGCAGCACAAAGGGGATTTAAAGGACATTTTTGTGTTTCCATGGCAAAGGGGAATCCCCTGCTAGGATAAAGCTGGAAAATCTTGTGCCATCTGATCCTTCTCCCTTTCTCCCCCACGCCAGGGATGTTCTGGGACACATCCAGGGCAGGAGGGGACATGGCCACAGCCAAAGTGTTCTCAGAGAGCCCTGAGCCAGGAAATCAGTCCTTGGGGGTGATCCCAGCTGGCACCAAGCAGTGACCATTTGGCTGCTCTGAGTTCCAGCAGGGGTGGTTCAGCCCCAGGCTCAGGGATGAAAGGAGGTGGACAGGTGGCTTCCAGCCATGTTTGCCTTCCTCCTCTTCCTCCTCCTCCTTCTCCTCCCCACACCTTAGATTGGAAAATGCAAAATATTACAATGACTTTACCTGAGGAGAACACGAAGCTTAAGGAGGTTTTGGAGCTCTCCTTTGTTACAGCAGGGGAGGGGACGGACATTTCCTTCATCCCCCCTGTAGATCCAAACTCTTCATTTTGTAGGCAGCAGCAGAAATGGGGCTGAGATGATGAAATCACACCCAAAAACTATTGAATCCCCTCTGGGTGCAAACAGCAGCTCCTTCAACCAGTATTTGGTCAATCTCATCATTTCCAGCACAGAGGTTGCCCTGCTGAAAGCCTTTTCTGTTCTTCCCTGCTCTGCCAGCCCCTCCTTGGGCAAGCTGGAGCCATTCCCTGGAGCAGGGGCTCCAGGAGAGCTCCTGGGCACTGGAGCCAGCCTGGCGTGCTGGGGCTTTGTTTAGCTGCTGTGAAAGGCATCACACAAGCAATTCCTGGGGTTTAGCTCCACTGAAACAATGTCATGTGCTCGTGTTTGAATTGTGGCACTGACCAGGCGGGATCTGCCCCGCACCTGGCAGGGTTTGTGTGGGTCCCTGGGAGGGGGGAATGGATTCACCCATTGCTGATGGCTGCTTAGCTCTGCCAGCCTGCTCTGGTGATGTTTTAGCTGCTGTAAAATCCTCAGCCCATTCCCTGCATTTCACTCTGGGACTCACTTCAGTCACAGGGATGTTTTGCTTTTCCTTGTATTGGTGCCCAGCTTGCCTCCTGCAGCTCTGTTTGTGCTCAGCAAAGCTTCAGGTGTGGATTTGGAGGCCAGGTGTAATATCAGGGTCTGGATTAAGAGCAAACACTTCACTTGGAGCCAGTGAACAGCCCTCAGATATCCGAGATTTTCACTCCCTGGTTCCCTCATGCAGCTTTGTCACTTCTTTCTGAGGGCAAAGTTTTAATTGAGAGGGTAAAACCCAGCTCAGACAAGACCTAGGACATATTGACACAGATTTGTTGATAATATTTATCAAAATTAATGGAACACTCCCACTCCTAATGTGAATAGTTTATAATTATTATTTGGCTCATTGAAAAGGTTGGCACACACTGGAAAAGGAGAAATGGACAGCAAAGTTCCTTCAGTCTCACAGAAGTGATGATAAACAATAAATTATTGAAGAAAATTAAGTATTATAATTGGGGAACATTCCCCTATTACTAAGTAAAGCCAGCCATTAGCATCCAATTTGCATTTTAGACCGTGCAGCAGGAAATATTTAAGTTGACAAATAGGATATTTAATACAGCAACAGATACTTGGCAGTTAGACATTAACAACTGTTACTGGGGTGATTTATTCCCCATTATCCAAAGGGCATTACTCTGTGCATATGATTCTGAAATTAACTCCAGTTTTCCAAGAGGCCTTGGCTGCCTGACCCCTTAATATCCTTATAATGAGTCCATTTACCATTCCAGGGCTGAGGCAAGTTGTTCACTGGGAGATTTGTTTTAAGGGGTCCTCTGTAGGGCAGCTCTTGGTGTGTGGGAACATTTCTCACTGGCAGGGTAGGCACAGGGATTTTTAAAGTGGGAAAAACCCCTGGGAAAACCAAGCTCTGGTTATTGGAGTGGAGGAGCCTTGCAGGAGCAATCCATGGTGCTTCCCTCAGCCTCCCTGAAGGATTATTCCTGAAGTTACAGAAGAGACCTGGCTGTTCCTCTTTGTGGAATCACAGAATCCCAGCATGGTTTGGGTGGGAAGGGACTCTAAACCCATCCAGTGCCACCCCTGCCAAGGCAGGGACACCTTCCACTGTCCCAGGTGCTCCAAGCCCTGTCCAGCCTGGCCTGGGACATTCCAGGGATCCAGGGGCAGCCCCAGCTGCTCTGGGCACCTGTGCCAGGGCCTGCCCACCCTCCCAGCCAGGAATTCCTTCCTCACATCTTCATCACTGCCAGCCCTGCTCCAGCACCAGAATGCCAACACACAGGGCAAAACCAGGCAGAGATGTTCCTTCACAACTGCTGAATTTTACTCTTCTTGTTGTTCTTTTTAATTTATTTGAATGCCCCTCTTTGTTTTTGATTAGGTGTGGGCAACAGACCTTGACCTTTGCTACAGTGACCAGCTGGCCCTGAGTCAGCTCCTGGTGTACCTGACAGATGGAAATGTGGATTGTGGCTCCAGCATCCTGCAAGCACCTCTGGGAGCAAAGGAGAGCCCAAGCCAACGGGTTCAGCACGAGGGGACAAAACCTGTAAGCAGTGATGTGTTCCCAAAGAGAGCCATTCATGGAACTCCCAGTTCCTGTTCTGCTCCAGAGGAGCTGAATCTGCTCCCTTCAGGTTTTAAACTGCTGCTCTTGGATTTTAGCAGCTCAATGAAGCCATGGGCTAACAGCACAGCAGGAGTTAAAGGGGAACCCTCCCATCCCTGGCAGCACCCAAGGCCAGGCTGGACAGGGCTTGGAGCACCCTGGGATGCCCCAGGTGTCCCTGCCCATGGCAGGGGGTGGAATGGGATCAGCTTTAAGGTCCCTTCCCCCCCAAACATTCTGGGGTTCTATAAAATGGGAAGAAAGGTCTTTAGAAAAGCCAGCCTAAGAAGTGTCTGTGTGTACATACACGGATGTATGTAAAACAAAACAAAAGCTGTTTGCCATATTTTGACAGAAGATTCACAGCTCCCTTTTTTCCATCCATAGAGGAGGGAATGTATCACCATTCCAAAAATGTCATGGAGCTGTAATTTAGAGGTTAACGAGCACTTGATCCATTGTTCTTGTCAAGCAACCACTTTTAGTTGGAGAGAAGTAAATTAGATCTGATTAGTCCCAATAGTCCAAGTTTTAGAAATGAAAAGTAATCAAGTAGCAACTTTTTTTTTTAATTAAAATTCTGTCAGAATTAACATAAATTGTTATTATATGCTTTATTTTTAATTCTTTCTGTATTTCTGAGATTTTTATCTCCTGAAGAGTTAACTACAAGCCTGCAGTCTCCCAGGAAAAGAGAAAAAGAAACAAACCAAGAGACAAATGTTTTTACTGCACATGATCTGTAATGAATGATTAAGTAAAACACTTTGTGTAAAATTATGATGTTAATAATGATTCTGTCCCTTTTAATTTATTAGATATTCTCCATGCTGGTAGGGCTGATTTTGATAAAATGGAGCAGCCCTGCAGTTTGTGCGAGGATTTTATTTTTAGAACTCCTTCTTTGAAAGAACAAATTTCCTAGATACTGCTGCTCCTGTAATTATGTACAAAACCAATCACTCATTATAGTTAGGATACATTATCTTCTAGACAGATGAGGCTAAATAAGCAACACATTAATAATTCATCCTGCAGTTCATTATGCATGTGTATGCATGCTTTGTAGCTGAAATAAGCACCTCATCAACCTGATGCCAACCCTTAAACAATAGTTCTGTGTTATTGCAGCCACATTCAAGTTTACGCTTGTTAAACTGCTGCTTGGATTATTTTATCAAGCATTCATTTATTTTTGGTCCCCCACTGCAGAGAAACAGATTTTGGAAGCTCCTTTTTTAAGTTAATGACTTGAGCAATGGGTGTTATTAATTCTCAGAATATTATAAACATGATTAATTTTCAGGCAGAGATGTATTAGATCAGGATTTCAGCTATGTCAACTTAAATGAGTCAATGTCAAAACAAATATCATTTTAGGGAAAATACTGTAAATTACAGGCTTTGATGTGCAGTGTACCTGCTCCCAGGGACATTAAAAGTACCACCAGGAAAACCCTGGTTTAGAACTGCTCTGCTCAGAGCTCCTCAGAGCAACATCTCTGTTCTTCTGGCACTGGTGATAGTTTAAACTTGATCCAGCACCAACCTTTATCCAAGGGGGAGAGAGGGCAGGGTCAGGTGGGAATAAATATTGGGAATAAATTCCTCCCTGGGGGTGGGCAGGCCCTGGCACAGGTGCCCAGAGCAGCTGTGGCTGCCCCTGGATCCCTGGAATGTCCAGAGCCAGGCTGGATTCAGTGCTCTCACAGAGCTCAGTGACCACTGAAGCTGTGAAAACACCAAAATGTGGTTCATGGAGCAATTCTGTGGGTCTGCCCTGTCAAACAGGGGTTTATGGAAATGTCTGTGTCCAGCACAGCCTGTGAGGAACAGGGATTCCTCCAAATGGAGCCTTACTCCACACTGAGTTCACTGGCAAAAAGCATTTATGGAACCCCAGGATGGTCTGGGTTGGAAAGGAACTTTGAGCTCATCCCCATCCCAGCCCTGCCATGGCAGGGACACCTTCCCCTGTCCCAGCTGCTCCCAGCCCCAGTGTCCAGCCTGGCCTTGGGCACTGCAGGGACCCAGGGGCAGCCCCAGCTGCCCTGGGAATTCCATCCCAGGGAACACTTTCTTCCCAATGTCCCACCTAACCCCACCCAATCAGTCTGAAGCCATTTCTTGTCCTGTCCCCTGTGAGAAGTCAGTCAACAGTTTAGCATTTAGCTGTTGGGTTCTGACATGAATGGTGTGAAAAGGAGGAGCCCTGGGTGAAGAGGCAGTAATTCAGCATTCAGCTGTTGGGCTCTGACACGGGCTGGTGTGAAAAGGAGGAGCCCTGGGTGAAGAGGCAGTAATTCAGCATTCAGCTGTTGGGCTCTGACACGGGCTGGTGTGAAAAGGAGGAGCCCTGGGTGAAGAGGCAGTAATTCAGCATTCAGCTGTTGGGCTCTGACAGGAGCTGGTGTGACAATGAGCAACCCTGGGGTGTTCTCTGCAGCCTGCCCCCAGCAGCCCCTGGTGTGCCGTGGCCAGCAGCCAGCTGAGGCATTCCAGCCTCTCAGGGATCTCCTACAGCCTCCTCTTCCACATCTGCAAAGCTCATGGGATTGGATTTGACCTCCAGGTACGAACAGGAAAGATGAGACAAATGTGATATTCGTTCTGCAGAATTTTTGTTTGTAAATTCTTTTATGATAAAACCGCTTCTGGCAATGTAAATCATAAATCGTGGAATTGTTAGGGTTGAAAAAGACTTCTGCCATCATCCAATCATCAACCCACCACCCCCATGTTCACCACTAAGCCATGTCCTCAAGTGCCACATAAACCTAATTTTCTTTCACTTTAAGTTTGTGTAAGACTTTAAAGGGGTTAACCTGCTTCTTGATAAAAATAACTGTGTAAGGAAATAATTTTTGAGATACTTTTGACCATCTCTTACTGCTTTGAAACCCAAACACTTGCTGTGGAATAGACTCTGCTGCATTTATTGTATTCTCTACAATAAGTTAAAACAATAATCTATTTAAACTGAGCGAGAATTCCTTACACACACTCCCAAACCAGCCCTCCTTAGTTTGGGTGTGTACTTACTGTGACACATTTATTACAATTCTCACTATTTTAGGAATAAATAAAGCAATTTTGTCTTAATTTACAGGAAAAACAGGGAACAGTTTTTGTGTTGTATGAAGACCAGAAGCGACACAGCCTGGGAATGATGTAAGTGTGGAGTGTCCCTAACCCAGGGTGACAAAGAGCTGGGGACACCCTGGGACACAGCCTGGGAATGATGGAAGTGTGGAGTGTCCCTAAGCCAGGGTGACAAAGAGCTGGGGACACTCTGGGACACAGATTGGGAATGATGGAAGTGTGACTGTCCCTAAGCCAGGGTGACAAAGAGCTGGGGACACTCTGGGAGTGCAGGGAGTGACAAAGGCCAGTGACAAGAGCCCTGACCTCTCCCAGGAGTGGCCTTTGGGGCAGTTTTTGGGTGGATTTCAGCGTTTCAGCAATAAAAGAAGGCCAGGGCCGTGCTGAGCTCAGGGGCTGGTGGCACTGCAGGCTCAGGAGCTGCTGGGATTGGCTTTAGGAGAGCTGCATTCCCTTCAGGAGCAATGGATTAGCACAGCCTTACTCCTACAGGCAACATTATTAAAAGCCTGGCTTCCAGGAGGCAAAGGAGGGTGAAGTTTAATGCCTTTTTATATTGTCCTTGCCCAAGTTTCCTGGCCAAATAGGATGTAATGAGTGAGGAGCTGAAGCCTTGTGCTCCCAGCCTGTTCTGTATTCCTTTGGTGCTGCAGCTATTTCATTAATGACCTGGATAACAAAACAGCTTCTTCAAGTGCTGGATGTGCCTGCAAGTGTTCTGGAGGGCAGGAATGGAATTCAAAATGATCTCCACAAATTGAAGGAACAATATGAGAAATAGAATTAGGTTTGGTTGGAACCAGGTGGAAGAAATTACATTTAGAGAGCAGTAATGAATATGAGGAACAAGGAGGTTTTGGGAGCAGGATCTGTGAATTAAACAATGTCTTTTTCCTGTGGAAAAAGATAAACAGAGTATCCTGGGAGATACTGGAAGAAATCCTGCTGTTCTGTGAGAGGGAGGCAATGAAAATGTTTAGAGTTCTGGAGAGCATGATTGACATGGAAAGACTGAAAAGGAGAGGGAGGGCAGAAATGGGATCTGCTAACGATCTCCCAGCACAGGAAGGGAAAAATCTGATTTTTTGGTAGTAGGAGAAGAAGAAATAAACTCAACTTGCAACAAAGAGGGTTCCTGTTGACTGCCATCACATTTTCAGTGCAACTTCATAGCCTTGATTGGGAAATATTTTCAAGATTATAGGAGTTGGAGCTTATGAAGCAACTGAAATACCTGAAACATCTCTGAGAATTACACATTTCATCCCATCAGAGATCTGTGGTCGATTCCAGTGCATGAGGCACATTATTCCTCAGTGTAATTCCCTGTTCCATAAGGTCTGGGGAGTCTGTGTGCACCACTGGCAAACCAGAGCCTCCAAAGCTGCAGCAATCCAAGGAATGTTGATCCTGCTGAAATGTCTTTCCCAAATTTTAGGCTGAAGCAAGTTTTTCCCAAGTGACGTGGGTGTTTCAAGTGTTCTGCTGCCTCAGCCCTCCCTCAGCAGTCACCTTTTACTTGGAGCAGCTGAAACCTCTCTGCTTACTTCTGCTAAGTTGATTAATAAAAATTATTTATTACACAAATCCTTCCCGTTGACAAGTTAAAATGGAGCCTCATCTTTCATATCTCCCTGAAGATTTTCACCTTGTGAGATTGAAAATCCTCATTAAATTCCAGCACCAGGCAGGCACAAATGAGAGGGCGATTGTTTTTAAGCATGTGAAGGGAATCATTGGTAAACTCATTTGTTTGGATATCATTAACAGAACAATCGGAGAGGATCTCCAGGGGGTCCTCCTGACCTTTGCTCGCAATCTCTTCATCATCCATCAAGAAATATCAGCACCTAATATGCAAGGCGAGACCAATTTTAAGGTGAGGTGTTAATTAACTAACGATCCTGGTTAATTTCTGTACAAGGCCTGCAAATACCTCATGCTGGATCATAAACAAGTGCTAAACCATTCCTTTTTTATCACTGGCTGTGTGTGGTTTACAGTGTCTGGGTCAGTGTAGTGGGTCTCCCACGGAACCCGTTAGTTAAATTTAAGTTTGAAACTTTTTCTTTGAAAAGAGACATCCTTGAGCGTGAAATTATTTGTAATCTAATGCTCCTGAGTGTCCTTTGGAAGAGCAAAGGAGCTGTTGGCACTGCCTCACACAGTTCTGTCACAATTGCCTGCTTTATTTTAAAGGGACACCATCAAGGTAAGGATCTTAAATTAGAAACAAATCTCTCAGTTGGTAATAACTGCCTGGATTATTAACACTCATTTCTTTCCAGCAGGCAGCCACTAATCCGTTCCTTCCCACCCTCACCCCGCCATCCCTTTCCCAAGTGGGTTTTGTTCCCAATTTTCTGTGCTGTTGGAACGTGCCCATCCCTGGACGCTCCAGAGGGGAGGACAAAGCACAGGGGCTCACCCTGGGGAGGTTCCCCCACCTTCCTGACGGAGCCAGCAAAGAATCATCATCCCAACCCCTGCCCTGGGACAAGCCCTCCTCACAAAGCTGCTCTTGATTCCACAGAATTGCTCAGCTGCCCACAGGGAGCCTCTTTTGCTGAGCTGCAGCACCTTTAACTTTACCAAAACTTTCCAAGATGCCGTGTGTGTTTTGTGAGAGGTGGAGGGGAACGCTCTGTTGGATTTGTATCTTCAGTCATGTCACATAATTTATAGCAGATTCTTTCCACCCTGACTGGATTTTCCAGTAGAGTGTGAAATGACAGATTTTGGGGAAGACATAATTAAATTTCAACATGTTACAGAATAAGCAACAACAACAACAAAAAAATCCCATTTTTCAATATGAGGGAATGAAAAGCAGCCACTGAGGAAAAATAAAAAAGAGAAGTTTTCTCCATTGTGCATGAACATATGTGAAATAAAACACCTGTTAGTTAATTAGGAGTACAAACTGTATTTTTATTTACCTGGGATTTGTACATATTTACTAATAATTCCCCCCAGTGTCTCCAAAGCAATATTAAATTTAATTGGTGCATCCTGTCCTGTGTAACCCTGTTACCTCTTCAAGGCAGGCACTGCCAGCTGTGCACCCTGGCTGCTGGATTCCATTATAATGCCCATTAAATAACTTGTATTCCTGGAATCTGTTACAGATGGCAATTCGAGATATTGAAGCAATTCTAGGAGTTACAGCAGAAAACAAACTGAGATTGGAAGAAGAGCAACCTTGGGAAGCAGATGCTCTGACAGAATAGTTAACAGAAAATGTTCAAGTGCCTCATTCCTTATGCTTCTGGAAACGCTTCCTCATCTGTAAGAACAGGTTTGGTTTTCCTTCTGAGCTGGTGTGTGAAGTAACATTAACTGAGACAGAAAATCTCTGTGGTTCCTGCCTGTGGCACTGGGAACATCCCACCTTTCTTGTTGGAAAGCACAGGATCATCCTAATGCTCCTCGTGTCCCTGTTGTCATTCCTGGAGTTCAGCACATGGGTTAAAATCTCGTTAATGGGGTCGTGCTGCCTCTGTCACTGACTCCGAGCAGGAGGAGCAGATCCTCTGAAAAGAGCCCTGGGAGCCCAAATTCCCTTTCCAACAGGCTGAAATACTGAGCACTGAAAGGAGAGGAGTGCAGAGGCTCCAGGAGGAGCAGAGGGACGGAGCAGCTCTGCAGGGAGGAAAGGCTGGCACAGCTGGGCCTGTTCACCTGCACAGGAGAAGCTTTGGGCTGAGCTCAGGGTGAAGATGGAGAGAGGGCACTCAGGAGCACCTGGGGTGCAGGGACAAGGGGCAATGGCCTCAAACTGGAGGAGATTGGGGTTAGCTGGGATCTCAGGAAGGAATCCTTCCCTGGCACAGGTGCCCAGAGCAGCTGGGGCTGCCCCTGGATCCCTGCAGTGCCCAAGGCCAGGCTGGACACTGGGGCTGGGAGCACCTGGGACAGGGGAAGGTGTCCCTGCCATGGCAAGAGGGTTGGATCTGGGTGATTTTTAAGGTCCCTTCCAACTTGAACTATTCCATGGATCTTTTGTCTATAAATGCTTTAATTTAAACCCCACTTCATCAGTAATCCCAGCAACCCACATTCCCCTGCAGAGCCATCTCTATTGTTATGCTGCTTTTTCTGTTATCTAAAGACTTTTGCAGCAGTTCTTTCGTGGTCATTTTCAAATTATCAAAAAGAACAGTAATAGCACTAATTCATCAATAGAATTCTCCTTGCACTGTGATTCCCAGAATTCCATGACTTTTGCAGGTCTGTCCATCTGTATTTTGGACACTGGTGACCCTTTTGGTCACAACTGCTGTGCACTGTTGTTAAAGGACAACATTATATTTGTAAAATCACCTTTATCCATCAAATCTTTAATATCCCAACAGATAACACATTCCACATTTTACTAAGGAAGAGCAGATCTCACTGCATGGAGCTTTTATCCTAGGAATGGCAAGTATCCTTGGGATTAGTTCCCAAAAAGCTCAGGCAAAACCAGTTTTAACACAAATACTAAACAATACCAAGCAGTTGCACGAGATCAGCACCCAGTTTTTCTGATAGCAAATCTTTGATCCCTCAGCATGAGACATTCTTTTCTGTGGAGTTTGTTCCTCTTCTACTTTGATCACAGAATTAATTCATTGCAGATGAAAACATTTGCATAAATGCTGGTTACTGCTTCAAATAAAAATCCACAGGAGCATTTTTATTTCCCGGTTTTATTGCTGTTTTACATCAACGTGGTGCTGGGTTTGGATAGCCCAGAGCTCACAGAGACTTTGCCAAGGTGGAATTTAGCTGCACTTGAGCTGGTTTGCAAAGGGTTAAGGAAAAGGAAGCCTTGATCCAAGCCAGAACAGCATAAGGTCTGAGAGGCTCATTAGTTCACTGGCACTTGATAGACTGCAGTGTCCTAGGAGGAAATGAAACCTGCACTTCCTTCTGCCTTTGTTCTGCCCTGACAAAAGAAAACTGTACCTGTTTTTGCAGGAAACAAGTGACCTGAAAGTTCCCGTGGTGAGAGAGATTTCACAGCGTGTGCAAAGTGTGAAATGTATTTTGAGGGGGGGGAAAAAAGTTTTTAATTACTACTAACACTTCTGAGCCTTGAGCTGATGGAAGGATTGAAAACTGCTCTGCAGTCTCTCACATTCAGCTCCCATGCTGCTGGTGCCAAAAATGTGGTTTTTTTAGCAATGCTGCAGATTTAAAATGAAATTCTAATATTGTTAAAAAGGCAGGGATATAATTCTGTTCACACTACTGGATTATTTGTTCCCACTCATTAAAAGAGTAATAGAGTTGTTGAACTGTAGATTGAATTTCAGAACGTGAGCTGGATGGGAAGAAAAACAGAACAAGCGTGAAGCAAAAGATTAAAGGCGGCCCAAGTGTGGCTTCTCATCAGAAACTGCCCCCAAAAATGCCAGATTTGGGCAAAAGCTGGGGCTGGCTCCTCAGCTGCAGGGAGTGGAGGAATGCTCGTGGAAGCAGGTGAGGGCCAGCAGGTTTGGCAGCAACTGCAGAGGCTGCAGACAATTAAAAGAAAGGATTTGTGCTCCCCAGGAGTCAGAGCTGGAAATGGAGGTGTTTGTTTAACTGGCAGCACTTGGTGGATTTTGTTTCAGCCAGAATTCAGTGTAGCACAGACCAGGTCATTCTCCTGAAAGAGCTACCTGGAGTTGATGAGACTGGAAACTGGGTCTCCTGTTTTAGGTAGTTGGGTTTAAAGCCCTGGGTAAAAGAAATAAAAAAAGCTTTTAGCCCACATTTCCACATTTAGAATGACAACTCTGAGCACAGAGAAAAACAAAACAAAAAAAAAAAGCAGTTTATCAACACAACCACTTCCAGATGTCTTCTGAAATGAAATGTTCACCCTCCATCTTTCCTGGAAGATCACCAGCACCTCAAGATCAGGAGAGTTCACCACCTTCCCTCTAGGTTAAGGTAACAAATCCCTGGATTTTTAAGGCTATCCTTAAAACTTCATATAAAATCCATTTAACAACGGGATACTGTAGCTCTGAGGCACCCCCTGTTACATTGTCGAGATCCTCTGAATTTCATTTTAGACTGCAGCACTTGTTATATTGATGAAGAGCAAAAGATTAAGAACTACAATCATTGACAACCTTCATTAATGTAATTAATGAAACACAACAGCATTGTATGACTTTTAAGGTTCAATACTTTATTTCAACCCTTCGGCACAGTACCACATTCCAGCTTTTCTATCCTCAGCCACCACTAAAGAGAGATATTAGTGCTAAACTATATGCTCTATTAATTACAGGGAGGTGAACTTGAAGGGGAAATTTGTTGCTGGTGATGATTAATAATTACTTGTTCTACACACATGTAGTACAGTAAATAATCAGGGCATATTGTTGGGGAGTAATTGATTAGTTAGCATGTTCATACTGGATAGCTCCATGGTCTAAGATTGCTGAGTTTGAGATATTGCTTGCAATTATTGAAAGAAAAAATCTGTTTCCATTTCTCAGTTCTCTGGACTTTCCCCCCCCCTCTCAAACAGAATGTTAAATGGTTCAAAACCTCAGCTTTTAATTAGAAAAATGGAATATAGACTGTGATTTAAAAAGATTTCTCTGAAGGGGTCCGACACTTGAAGGCTTTTAGGGAGGTCTGCCAGGTAAAGCCAGTGCAGCTGGACACACTCCTGAGCCTGGGTGGTGCTGCAGGTGCTCCCTCAGCACGTCGGTGGCAACAAAACCTTTCTAAAAACGTGATTGTCCATTTTGTGGTGATGCTCCCTCTCCTCCTCGCTCCGTGCAGGGCTCAGGGTGGTTCATGCCCTCAGCACGGGCAGCTCCAGCGCAGTCTCGGTGTGTCTGTCACGGAGCCCCAGGATCGCCGAGGCTGGAAAAGCCCCCCAAGGTCACCCAGTCCCAGCTGTGCCCATCCCCACCTCGTCCCCAGCCCAGAGCCCCGAGTGCCACCCCCAGGAATTCCTGGGACACCCCCAGGGATGGGCACTGCAAACCTCCCTGGGCAGCCCCAATGTCTAATCCGCCTTTCTGGGAAGAAATTCCTCCCAATGTCCACCTGAACCTCCCCTGGTGCAGCTCAAGGCGATGTCCTCCTCCTGTCCCTGTTCTCTGGGAGCAGAGCCCGACCCCCCGGCTGTGCCCTCCTGTCAGGAGCTGTGCAGAGCCACAAGGGCCCCCCGATCCCCCTTTTCTCCAGGCTGAGCCCCTTTCCAGCTCCCTCAGCCTCTCCTGGGGCTCCAGCCCCTTCCCAACTCCGTTCCCCTCCCTGGACAGACTCCAGCCCCTCAGTGTCCTTCCCGAATAGAGGGGCCCAGACCGGGGGCATTCCCGTTCAATTTCCGGGCCGCTGTCCCGCTCTGTTCCCGGGACCATTCCCTCTCCATGCCCAGGTGATTCCCCGGGCAATTCCTGCCCCATTCCCGGGCCCATTCCCGCTCCGTCCCCGCTCGGTTCCCGCCCCCGGGCGGCGCAGGCGCGCTGCGGGCGCAGGCGCGGAGCCCCGCGGGATGCGGGCGCTGCTGCGGCGGCTGCACGGCGCGGCCGTGGCGCTGCTGCTGTGGCGGGGCCGGGCTCCGTCCCCGGCCCGGCCCGCCGCCTCCGAGGTGATGAGCCAGCACCTGCGGCAGCGCCGCCTGCCCCACTGGACCTCGTTCTGCGTCAAGTATAGCGCGGTGCACAACGATCAGTTCGGCCTCTCGCACTTCAACTGGCCCGTGGACGGCGCCAACTACCTGGTGCTGCGCACCGGCTGCTTCCCCTTCATCAAGTACCACTGCTCCCGTGCCGCTCCGCAGGACCTGGCGCTGCAGGACGCCTTCTTCACCGCCCTCAAGGTGCTCAACGCCGGTGAGTCCGGCCCGGAGCGGCGCCCTGAGGGCGGCGGCCTGAGGGGGACGGGACCGCGGCTCGGACTGGGCAGCTCCGCTCCCTCTCCGTCTCCTTTTGCTTCTCTTTGTCGCTCCTCCTCACCGTCTCCTCTCTTTCCCCTGTCCCTCACCTTCTCCTCTCTTTCCCCTGTCCCTCACCTTCTCCTCTCTTTCCCCTGTCCCTCACTTTCTCCTCTCTTTCCCCGTTCCTCTCTTTCTCTCCTGTCCCCTCTTTTTCTCCTTTCCCTTCTCCTCCGTCTCTTTCCCCCTCGCCCTTTCTCCTTACTCCTCTCCTCTCTCTCCCTCTCTCCTTTCCCTTCTCTCCTCCTGCCCTTTCTCCGTTCCCTCTCCTCCTTTCCCTCTCGGCCCAGGAGTTCGGAGCCGTGTGCTCCGGCAGGGCAGAGCCCTAACTCGGCGCTGTCTGTCGGGGCTCAGGCCGGGCCGGTGTTGCTCTGGCCGCTGTGACAGGCACAGATCGCCTTGCTGGGATTCACGCCTTTGGCAGGGAGCGTTTTCCAGCTGAAATCCGCCTGCCGGGGAGGAACTTCTGTCCTCTGAGCAATTCTGGAGCGAAACTCTTTCAGGCAGTGTCTGGTGCGGGAATGGTCAGCCTGCTTGGATCCTAACGTGCTGCCGGAATAGAAATCCTTGTAATAAAAAGGCTTTATCAGCACCTTATTAATATAAAAGTAGATATAGTTAAGTTTTGAAGTATATTATTCCAGAATTTTGGCTGCAGATCCAATGCTTATTTGAACACCACCATGGACAGAGCCAGTGCCATAATATTTCATGCATTCTTTATTTTCGTGTTTAATTTTTTAAAATTTCCTTTTCTCCGCAAGCCTTCAGTGAGTTTTTCAAAACATGTCTGCTGCTCTTAATTTTCTGACCTTTCTAGGCTGATGTAGTGAGAAAATATAATCAAAAAGACTGATTTCTTAGTAACTCCTTTAAATCTGACTTTCTTTTTCCCTGCACCCAGTCACACCTTTGTTTTTCTCACAACTACCCTTCATGTTTCATATTTAAATGATTGGAAAACATGATTAAAAAGGCAATTTATTTCCCTCAGAATCCTGCTTAAGCACCTAGCTTCAAGCATGTTAAATTTGGTGTTTCTGAACTCAGGGCCTAAATCCAGCTCTGTTTTTTCCTCTGTAACAAACAGAATATTGTCTGTAATAGATGGATAAATTGGCAAGGCTAAAACATGTCACTTTAAATATATATATATATATATATATATATATATATAAACCTTTTTGCCCATTGCAGTTCTGTTGGAGCTGGTGGTTTTGACTGCTGATCTGATTTTCCCCAGAGAAGCTTCATGTTGATCTATGGATTCACTGCCTATTTTTTAAATTTCTGCTTTGACATAGACTCCAATAACTTAAGTGGATATTCTGGGAGTTTGGGTTTAGTATTTGAAGATAAATATATATATTTAATCACTAGAAATCATGTATACATGGCAATGTTTCATTTCTTTCACGTTGTTCTCCTCCTGTTTTCTTTTTCTGATAATTCCTGCTTATTGCTGCTTCCTGCCTCGTGTCAACAGGAAAGGTGTTGAGCACTGATTGCTGCATTTAAATAAAGACAAAAGATTTCTAAGGCAGCTTTTCCAGGGATACTTTCCCTCTCAGTTCATTTTGGAGCCCCCATTCCTTGCTCTGAATTTGCAGTTTGGATTTCACTCCGTGTGTGTGTAACGTGTTTTTATCTCTCCTCAGGCATCCCAACTTTGCTGTATGGAATTGGCTCCTGGTTCTTTGCCCGTGTCACAGAGACTGTTCACACCAGCCATGGCC